TCCTTGAGGAGCTTCTTGATATGTTGTCGTCTTTCTGACGATGTTCGATCTCTGGGGAACGAGAGAGGGAACTCGCTAGGGAGGTCCTCTTCGTCTGCAGCCATGAGTAGCGATCTCGCTGGCGTCATCTGTTCTGAAGAACGTCGTTGTTGGAGATTTTAAGTCTCGACAACGCATCGGCGACGATGTTCTGTTCGCCTTGATGTACCGTAGTTCAGGGCCGTATTCTTCCAGAATAAGGGCCATTGCATTACGCGATGGTATTGAATTTCTTCATGTAAGATTCTTGGTCCGTATGTAAACGATCTCTGTCCTAGAAGAATGTTGCGGAACTCTTTAGAGTTTCTACGATACTGAGAAGTTCCTTCTCGGTAACTGTGTAACGTGTCTGAGCAGGGTTGAGCTTCCTGCTGTAGAACCCGATAGGTTTTCCCTTCTGGGAAATTCCTGCACCTAGTTGAGTACACTCGCATCCGTGTGGATAACAGAATGTATCGTTGAAGTCAGGGTAGCGAGCAAGTTTCTTTGCTGATGATCTTCTTCATCTGCTAAGGCCTGTCGTGTTCCGCTTCCCATTTCCACTTCGTGTTTTGGAAGTCAACGAAGCGAGTGGGCCAGTCAATGTGATCGTCTAATCCACATACTCGATAGTAGTTCACTAGTCCATGAATCTACGAGTTCCTTTCTGTGGTAGGAGAGCGATATTCTTGATCGTCTATTTTTTTGGTTATAGGTTGGATCCTTCTCGAGTAATCCAGTAACCTGGTACTCAAGTTCTCCTCTTGCGAAGAAGGACTTGTTAGCATTGATTTAAGTCCGGCTCCTCGAAGCCTTCGGAGAATTTCATCCAACTTTTCAACGTGATTTTGCTAGATCGCCGTTAGTTAGGATGAGTAGATCATCAATGTATGCACGGACGTATTCTAGTTCGTGCATTAGTGTACACTACACCTGGAAGGGTCTTCGCAGGACTGTGCAGGCCGTATGTCAGCGTTGCCAAAGCTGCCAGATGAAAAAACCCAAGACGCGTAAGCTGGATTGATGCCTCCAAAGACTTGCGAGTAGATCCCTTGTGAAAGACTATGTATTGACCTGATTGGTCCTTACAACGTCGGGATCCCAAGAAAAAGATTCCTGCACACTTCATTGCTTGACAATGATTAATCCCGTAACCGGATGGTTCGAGATTGCAGAATCTGCTCCAAGGCAGCAGACAAATTAGCCATCGTCCTAGAACAAAACGTGGCTTACTCGGTATACATGGCCTGCTGAGGTTATCATTGATAGAGGACGCGAGTTCCGCGCCGAGGTCGAAAAGACAATCAGGGATGAATATGGACTTCGTCGCATGTTCATCACTACGCGTAATCCTCAAGCCAACTCTATGTCGAGCGTGCTCATCAAACCACACGTAACTTGATCGCTGTTCAAACATCAAGTGCCAAGACGACCTCGTGGAATGGATTCTGGGATGGGTGCCTCAGGGCGGTTCGCTTTGCAATTAACGCCACGATTCATACCAACTTGCGCGCAACGCCCGCACAGCTCGTGCTCAATCGTGACGCGTTCACAGACGTCCGTTCGAAGCAACTCGAAGCAGTTACATCTAAGAACGTCGCCAACGACTTATCCTGAAAAACAACGATAGGGAAAACCAACGCGTATCCTTCATCAATAGCAATGTCAACGATATTGTGATGATTCAACAGTATCAGCACCGCAAGTACGGTCAGCCCAAGTACAAAGGTCCTTACACTATAGACCGAGTCAATGACAAAGGCACTGTACGGCTCCAACATGGTACCGCCAACGGCGGCACAGTTGACCAGACTTGGAACATAAGGTATATACAACCATGACAAGCCCTTGATCCCCTTGTAGGATTGCCATCGTGCGACGCACATGTCTACATCCGAATCTCATGAGAGTGCTCTGCACTTTAAATCATATGTTCGCACTTTAAATCATATGTTCACCTTCTGTGACCCTTGTAGGGGGGCGAATGCAATACTACGGCTCTTAGCCTTATCGCGACTCGATCCTAGATAGGGTTTGGATTAGACTCATGTCTGATTCTCGTTAATAGTCATTTGGACAGGGTTTCAATGATCGGCTAGTCATACTAGGATTGATGATGAAACACTGCTTAGAGTATATAGCAGCGTTGATGTACTTCCACGCTACTAGATCCTGCTAGACAAACCTTCCACGCGTTCCGTTTAGGATCTGGGATAGACGTAGAGATTACTACCACAGCCTACTCGTATCACACTTACATTCCCCGCGGGAATTCAGATCAACGAATCCTTTGATTGTGATCTCTCTCGTTGATTATTTTCATAGCTTCTAATACCTCTCATAATGTTTCATTCTCTCAAACTCAAAACAAACTCAAAAGATCTTACATCGTGCTTTTAGCGTAGTGCAAAAGTCCAGCATATAGTTCCTTCGCCAAACCCTTAGCAGTGGTGAATCTATTGATGAAACCTTGTCGAATCCTTTGTTGTTTTGTGATGGATTGAAACTGGAGGAAACCAACTATAAGTATGGAGGCTTCCAAAAAGCTAGTAATTTGGTCTGGGGTTGGAATCATGTTTCCTGTGAATGCTCTCGCAATCAAGTATTGCGCACTTCCTCCATAGGATCCCAAGCAACTAGCATTCTCGGCACACCAATAAGAACTCATAGTATCATTTCCATCAAATGAATCCTTGATGTCATTCACTGAGGCCATCGGCGAGTCCTTGAAGGCTTCCTCCATCCAATTACATTTTGCTTGCAGTGTTTTGGGGATTCCGTGTTGATCTGAAGCTTCATTTGGATTTTTATCCAACTCTGCTGAGTTCTCGAAATTTTCATCCAATCCGGCCAAGACAGCGAATCCATCAGTACACCCTGCTGGCAGGCTTGCATTAGAGGTGCGGAAAGAATTTTCCTCTTGTTCGGATTTTCTGGAATGTGACAGTAGGTGACCTTTCAGAGCAGACCTTCCGATCCTTTGGTTGCAACTGACACAAACAAAACAAGATGAAGTCATCTTGCAACCATACACACAACACGAAAACTTAATAATGGTTATGGCTTGTGGTACATGTTGAAGGTTTTCCCCGATGGAGGTTGATAGGGTTCCACATTTCTTGCATAAAGCAAACGATAAATTTTTGGGACCCAATAGATTTTGGATGTATAAGGAAGGCCTGAGAGCGAGTTGAGTGCTGAAGAATTTGACATACTGATGACCTCTGGAAATTATGGATCCAATTTCAAAATTGTGTGCTTTTGATTATTGTGAGAGAACAATCACTTTCACCATGCACATGTGAACACGTACTGCATGCATGTCTGGATCGATCGTCCTGCATGCCTGAATGCCTGACGATCGAGTCCAGATCAGGATCATGCATGCATCATCCAAAATTGCATGCCAACCTCTATGCAGGCATTGTATATAGTAATTGATTGGATCAATCAAGATTATTATGACTTCTTATCATCCGAGATCAAGATGGATGATACTTCCATTTGAAGCATGTGTCAAATTTGGTGTTATCACACACATAAGAAGCCAATCGTGATCTATAACGGTGAGATTTCAACCACCAAGGCGCGCCAATGGGGCACCAACCATTGAGATAATTTGGCAAGACCATACTGAATCACACCATAGATAACTCGCTAAATCGCCAAGGAGATAAGGCTTACAGCCCTGATTTGGGGGACGTATCTTCCAGTGGGCGTTACATTGACTATCCAATCTAGAAAATATATCTAAATGAAAACCAACCACGCCCCAAAGATACCCTTGCAAGCCAAGCTTTCAGCTAAATGTTCAGTGTGGATGCCGGATCTTTCTTACAGGGAGCAAGGGGGACCTGCTAGCTTTGAACCTCACACAATTCTCCATTTTTTCCTCTTCGGGGGCATCCCCAAGATCTAACTTTGAAGCTCCCCAACATGCAATCCTCGATCCATCAATGCTGCATCTAAGGCAATTGCATACATTGCTGCATGCAGTTCCAACAGGAACTATGAGTTCCCATTCTATTCCCGGTTCAACCAACAGTTGCCAAATTTGGTAGGAATAATAAGCAACAGATCGGGGAAAGGATCCAGGATTACATCAGTAATTAGATGCCAACGTCCACTCAGTCCTGAATACCTTTCTAATTGATGTGAGTTCTTAGATTAACTTGGAGTGTAACGCTTGGAGGATGAAACACAAAGGTTGCATGTTCAAGCCTTTTCGACAAAAGAGCCAACGCTTCTTTGGTTGCTGCTCATGAATTTCCATTTGACACAACCCGTTGCAAATTGTGAGCTCCATCATATACGGTTTCAACTTAAGGAAGCAATGAATCCATCTGACCCCAGCAATGGCAAGGAACCCAGCAGCTCCTGCAGCACATGACCCACTATTAATAACCAAAACACTGGAAATGATGGTGCTTTGGACTTCAACCATGTTCGTATAGTGAAACTGAAAAGGAGACTTTGAAAACACTCTATCGTGGCAGCTTCTTTAGTTCCATCAGGGACAATGTTATTCATCGTGTCATCAGTAATATCAATGGTGTGATATATTGCCTGTTTTCAGTATCATTGCATGCAAATGATTATACTTCTATCTGACCCATTGTGTCCTTCAGGGATCCTCGAACATTGAGGCCATTCCCTACATTATTCTTCCTGGCAATTTTATCTATGCCAAAAGTAAGCCAAAAGAACCTGATCTAATCAATAGGTTGCAGTATGTTCAAGCTTTTGATCGTCGTTCTGAACAAGAAAAGGCTTCTGGTCACCAGCTAAATGTTAATGTGGAATGTTGACCCAGATGATGGTGTCTCTCCGAAAACTGATTCAAACCATTGTAACGCCCATGATTGTCCAATTCTTCATCAAGAAAGTCATGACTTTCTATCCTCGTTTCAAATATAATAGATCTGATCCTCCAAGCACTATTGCACACATGACTTTGTTCTTTAAAGTCGGCCCCTGGGACAATGAAACTCGTGGCATTGCTGACTTCTGTCTACACAAGATTTGGCCTTCCGGTTGGGCACTTGCATGGAGCAACAAGTTCTGAAGATGCTTGGAATCAAATATTGGCAGAAGCTTCCAGACTATGCAAACAAGAATACAACCCTAACTACCAAGGAGAAGAATCACCAAGGCAACTTCATCAAGGATATTTGCGTATCTGTGGCAGAACAAAGGACTCGCAGCATAGGACTACCATTAAGTCGGAGCACAAGGAGGTGATCTACAGAAGGTTGAATCCTGCAAAAATCAGTAATAGTGTTGCATGGATTCGGAAGACCAACACGGAAGAGGATGGCTATAATGGCCTGCTAGGTGTGTGCGATTATCATCCAAGGGTGTTTCAGAAACACAAGGATATTGTATGGAAAAAAGAAGGGTTTTCCTTTAAAAATTTCACTCCATGCAATGCTCCCGCGACGCCTATACAACCAGTTGAGAGGTTCTCTGAAGTGCCAAGTCCACCAAGAACTCCTGAAACTCCAAGTGCAGCTGCAATGATGGAATTCTTGAATAACATGGATGAAGAATCCCGTAATGGCCTTCTCGCAAAGTTCACGACACCTCCCAAGATCTCAGACCTGAATGGGGATCCCACTGGGGATTCATTCAGCACTCCAGCCAAGACTCGAGCTAGGGACTCCCCTCACTTGCCAGATTCCAGTCCTACCAAGACTCCAACTCAGGATTCACCTCACGTAAATGGAGAAGATGATCCTTTGGGCAAGATGGCAAATTCACTGAAGAATCGGGGCCTGGAACCCCTAGATGGTTCTGATAGTTCTGATGAGGAGCAACTATTCAAGACTTTCCCTCCAAAACCAAAGAAGAAGAAAGGGGTGTTGAAAACGGTAAGTCTTTGTTGGTAAAATCAACTGAATCCATACAGCATGGGACTTACCCCATGCATTATTTTTCAGTTTGTGCCACTTCCTCCCCCCCCAAAAAAGAAAACAAAGGATAAAACCCTCCTTCCCAAGAAAGCAAAGACAAACAGGCCAAAGCAAGTTGTAAGTACTCAAACTGTGTGTCTTGATAAATCCGGAAGTACATGGTGAAACTAAGATTCTGTTTTTTTGCTTGAAGACTCCTTCTAAGAGCTCCAACCATTCTACTGCTGGGGCGAAACTGTCCAAGAATGACGAGCCACCACAAACACCACCACCTCCTCCCACATTCCCTGAACCCATTGCGTGCGATCCTTCATTGCATCTTGACATTGCAAACTTCACTAAGTTTGAAAAATCCTATTTCACACCAGCAATCAGATCCAAACATCCAGAATGGGCTGAGAAATGTATTCAGTGTGAACAGAGCATTTGGGAACAGCCAGTCAAGGATGTTTGGATGTGTGAGAATACAAAGAAAGCCAATTGTTGTTGTAAGTATGCCTTGTGTAAACCCTGTTGGATGCAGAGACTCCAAAAGGGAGTCATGGGGCACCTAGCACTTGCCTCTCCCGAGAAAAGGCGGTTAAATGAAGAGGGCAGGATTTTGGAGGAAGAGGATGGATTTGCACCTCGTAAAAGTGCTAGAAAGAGGATCAAGCTTTCAGACAAAGAGAATAAAACCTATCAATTCAATACTTGAGTGGTTCTTGGCCGAGGTTCCATGGTTCCCATGAAAAAGAATGCCATGAAAGATTGTGGGAGGCATTGGCTTCCACTGTACCAACCAGAAAAACGAGGAGAATGAATCCATTGCATTACCATATTGGAATCCTTTGTGGCAGAGGTTGGCTGCTGCTGTAGTGAAAAAGAATGTCTTGTGTGAAGTTTTTGCTTCCACTGCAGCGAAAGCTGCTGTCACCATCGTTAACTTTTATTGTAGTCCATCCAAATGGATTTGTTGATTTGGTCACAGTTTTAGTCACTAATCTAGTCACTAACAGGATTCAAAGTTAATCCATTTAGTCAACTCGAAGCGCGCATACCTGGCTTGTGAACCCGTGGTTCAGAGGCCTGGCCAACTCTCTCTGGTTTGGACGCACACTTAACCTCGTCATTGTTACGTCATGCATGACTTCAATCTAGCATGACGTCAGTAAGTCACCGTGACATCATCATGTCTGAATCAGGTATTGACAATCAGTCATGCATGCATGCCTGCGTGCATGGTCTGATCCGGATGGGCTGCCATGCATGCGCAGCTATAGGACGTCACGAATTATCCCTAATGCAATACACGGCTCTTAGCCTTATTCGCGACTCGATCCTAGATAGGGTTTGAGTTCGACTCATGACTGAGTCTCTCGTGAATAGTTATTGAGACAGGGTTCTCAATGACCGCTCTAGTTATACTAGGTTGATGATGAAACATCACTCTAGATATTTAGCCAGCGTGGAGTACTTCCACGCTACTAGATCCATGCTAGACGAATCTTCCACGCGTTCCGTTTTAGGATCGTGGAGATACGTAGGATTACTACCACAACCTACTCTATCACACTTTATAGTCTCCCGCGGGAGACCAGATCTACGATCCTTTGATGGTGATCTCTCTCGTTGATTAGTTTTCATAGCTTTCTAATCTCTCTCATAATTTTCATTCTCTCAAACACAAAACACTCGAAAGATCTTTACACTAGCTTTTAGCGTAGTGCATTTTGTTAACAAACACAATAGCTTTCAGCTACCCTCAACCTATTCCTTCACCATGAAGATTGCTCAAGGAAAGCATGCGTTCACCAACTTCGAGAAACAGTTGCGTGACAAACCCATTCTTCCTCTCGTCGACAATGACGAAGACGCCGAGATCGACGATTCTCGTGCAACCACCTACAAACTTCGCACCGTTCCTGCAGATGCAAACAGTGCCAAATACACCTTCAAGGTAGCCATCATCAATGGTTCCAACACTCCACGTCAGACCATCAAGTGGGCTACGAATATGGAGAAGGTCTTCGTTGGACTCAACCTTGCTAGTCCCGACGACAAACATCGCCTTCTCAAGGAGATGACTTCCAGCTCTGCGAAGAGTGCCTACGAAGCTGGGTGTGCAGGCCATCGTGCCGTGCATCATAATGCCCTACGACAAATTGCTGTGAACGCAATTCCTCCACGCGATGTGACTTCTGGAGAAACCGAAGTAGCCTTCCAGGCTCGTGTCCAAGCCGCATGGGACGGTGCAGCGGAACCCGCTCTAAGCGATGCTGACATCACCTTTGGAATCAACGCGGTTATCGAAGCAGCCTGTCCTTACAAGGCTCTCGAAAAACAGAAACGCTTCATGCGTCGCAAGATGCGTAAGCCTAGCGAGATGACAACTCGCGCCTACATCAACAACCTCACTCGGATGAACACCGATGAGCTTCCACGTTTGCCACCTTTCGGTGCCAATCAACAGTTGAACCAGGACGAATTCATCGACATCATCTGTCATGGCATTCCTCGTTCCTGGATGCGCAAGATGGACGAACACGACTTCGATCCTTTCACTGCCGAGATGACAGCGCTCATTGGATTCTGTGAGCGCATGGAATCCGCCGAAGACTTTGACAAAGGCAGTGATGCCAAGCAAGTTCCTTCGAAGAAGAACAACAGCAAGAAGTACAAGTCTACTCGCAACAACGACCATTCTTCCAAGAGCGAAGAAAAGTGGTGTGATTACCACGAGTCCAGCACTCACAATACTGCTGATTGCATGACTCTGAAGAAACTCAAACGCAAGTCAGACGACTCTGACAACGAGGATGACTCCTCTGTCGGGTCCCTCAACATGATGGACAAGAAAATGGCTGCAGTCGACAAGGCTCTTGCCGACTTCGACTTCAATCATTCAGATGGAGAGATCTCCGTCTGAGGATTAGGCCAGGATGATGATTCAACGGAACCATGTTCCGATTTCTCATACCTAAGTGATGAAGATATCTCACTAACTAGTAAACAAGAATTGTTTGCAACTGATGAAGTCTACGGCAAATTAGATAATTGCCTAGAAGCTGCTCAACTAGATTCTGACGATCTATCCAGCATTGTTAACCTCGTCCGTGGCCAACCACCTCGTCAACGTCGCAAGACAAGAGACCTCAAAACTATCGTCTATGTTAGATTTAACAGACGAGAAAAAGGGAAACAAAAACCCGTTACACTCCGTTGCTTACTGGATACAGGAGCATCCGGAACCTTGATTACCCAAATTCATGCTAAGAGATTAAGCATGAAGGATCATGGGGGCGTCCAAACACTATGGACTACCCCTGTAAAGGAATTAAACCCCAGCACGAAGTGTAAGGGTGCACTTATGACTCCTGAGTTCCACGATGATAGAATTATCGAATGGAACTTGCACGCCACCAAGAACTTGGGGGCGTATGACATGATCATAGGTCGAGACATTCTCTCCGATCTAAGAATCAAGTTCGATTTCACTACCATGTCAGTGAAGTGGAATAGCACATCTTTCCCTATGAAAGATAGCAATACCAACGAAGAAAGGAACTTCTTCATCCCTGATCCTACAGCTGTCAGCGACAGTGCAGATCGTCTCAAGAGCACTCTTGACGCGAAATACGAACGACCTGACTTAAGGTAGATATGCCAGAGTCAAAACCAGGTAAATAAGGAAGAGCAGGAACCGCTTCATGCCTTATTGACCAAGTGCTCCGACCAATTCGAAGGTACTTTAGGAAAGCGACAAATGGACGACTACGAAGTAGAACTTCGTCCTGACGCTAAACCCTATCACGCTAGGGCTTATCCTACTCCACGTGTCCATACCAACACTCTTAAGACAGAGGTCGAACGTCTCTGCGACGCAGGAGCACTTAAGAAGGTAAACCGTTCCGAGTGGACGGCACCAACATTTATCATTCCCAAAAAGAATGGATCTATACGGTTCATCTCTGACGTCCGGGAACTGAACAAAAGGATTCCGATCCCAAGGATACAAGACATGCTACTGAATCTAGACGGATTCAGGAAATACGAGTACCAGCGAGTACCGATGGGCCTATGCAATAGTCCCGACATCTTCCAAAGGAAGATGGGAACACTCATGCACGACTTGGAAAATGTTCGTGCATACATTGATGATCAACTCATCCTACCTAACGGCGATCTAGTGGATCACGTTGAATAGTTAGATGAAGTTCTCCTAAAGGCTTCGAGAAGCCGGACTTAAGATCAATGCTACCAAGTCCTTCTTCGAAAGAAGAGAACTTGAGTATCTAGGCTACTGGATTACTTGAGAAGGAATCCAACCCATAACCAAGAAAATAGATGCGATCCAGAATATCGCTCCTCCTACGAACAGGAAGAAACTTGGTAGATTCATTGGACTAGTGAACTACTATCGAGACATATGGATCAGACGATTACATGTACATACAACGTCGGGGATCCCAAGAAAAGGAATCCCTGTCCATTTCATTGCTTGACAATGATTGATCCCGTAACCGAATGGTTCGAGATTGCTGAGATCTGCTCCAATGCAGCAGACGAAGTAGCCATCGTTCTAGAACAGACGTGGCTCACCCAGTATCCATGGCCTGCTGAGGTTATCAGTGGCATAAGAAGACGTGAGTCCCGCGTAGAGGTCGGAAGACTCTCCGAGGATGAATATGGACTTCGTCGCAAGTTCATTACCACACGTGTTCAATCGTGACGCAATTCACAACGTCCGTTTCGAAGTAAACTGGAAACACATCAAAGAACGTCGCCAACGACTCATCCAGAAAAACAATGATAAGGAAAACGCGACGCGTGTCCCTCATCAATACAATGTCAACGATACTGTGAGGTTTCAACAGTATCAACACCGCAAGTACGGTCAGCCACAGTACAAAGGTCCTTACAATATAGACCGAGTCAATAACAATGGCACTGTACGGCTCCGACATGCTACCGCCAATGGCGGCACAGTCTACCAGACTTGGAACCTAAGGTATTTACACCCATACAAGGCCTGATCCCCTTGTAGGATTGCCATCGTGCAACGCACATGTCTACATCCAATCTCCGGAGAGTGCCCCGCACTTTAATTCATATGTTCTCCTTGTCCGACTGATGTCGTGCCTTCTGTGACCCTTGTCAGGGGGCGAATGCAATACACGGCTCTTAGCCTTATTCGCGACTCGATCCTAGATAGGGTTTGAGTTCGACTCATGACTGAGTCTCTCGTGAATAGTTATTGAGAAAGGGTTGTTCTCAATGACCGCTCTAGTCATACTAGGTTGATGATGAAACATCGCTCTAGATATTTAGCCAGCGTGGAGTACTTCCACGCTACTAGATCCATGCTAGATGAATCTTCCACGCGTTCCGTTTTAGGATCGTGGAGATACGTAGGATTACTACCGCAACCTACTCTATCACACTTTATAGTCTCCCGCGGGAGACCAGATTGATCTACGATCCTTTGATGGTGATCTCTCTCGTTGATTAGTTTTCATAGCTTTCTAATCTCTCTCATAACTTTCATTCTCTCAAACACAAAACACTCGAAAGATCTTTACACTAGCTTTTAGAGTAGTGCAAGAAGGTGTGAGAAAGATTATAAACACAAATTTGGTACCCTCTAATGCGGGGAGCTCTTTTTCAATAATCCCACATGGTACTAGCATGCGAACTTTCAATCCGCACGATGAAATTAGCAATAGGAGCCTCTATGGGTGCGCCACAGCTGTGCTGGTTTAGTCGGATGGAAACAATGCTTTTGATCGTGTACAGTCAATCAGTACACACAGCATTGCAGCCATGTGACAATTTGTATATAGCTGAGGCATGCCTATGTGTTCCAGAGCATATAGCCTTCAGTCTAGATACAATGGAATGATCCAGGCCAACAGTCCTCTCCTAGGATCTCCAACAGTAGGATATCCTCTCCAAAAGAGCCAGTTCTGTCAACTGGAGTGAAATCGTGGTAATGGTGTTTTTAGCTTATAGTAAGAAAGATAGTAATGAAAGAGTAACCCCTGAGACCCAGTAGCACCGTAGCCCTGCAGTAGATAGATTCCTGTGTGGTATGTGCTAGGGCAATGTAACCAGCTCCCCAAGTACTCTGAAACAGTGATTGGGTAGCATTGAACCAGCTCTCTTTGAGCTGGCCTTTCAGCCAGTGGAGGAGATCTCCATCTCTAGAGATCTCCCTCCCAGCTCTTGTGTTCCTACAACTGAGCTCCCTGGCGGAGATTCATAGGATTAACATTTTCGCATAGACACAACACAAGAGTGGCTCTTCAGTGTGGAAGAGTGGAAGATCGAGTGGAAGGAGTTGTGGATCAGCAGCAGATCAACCAACCGAGACGCGATCGTGCTGAAAACTGGAATCGCGACCGATTCGAACGAAACCAAGTGGTCCACCTACTAACCTGAAGGTGCTTGACAAGATACACCAGCTATCTTCTTGTTAATCAGCCTAGTTCAGCCGGCCGATAGCGGAAGGAGTGCCATTGTCGATCTTCGATTTTTCGATACGTAAAGGATAGCGATTTTCTCAGTCGTGCCTGGAGGCCTGACAACGAACCGGTACTCACAAGGGACTCACAAAACCGGTACCGTACCTCTGTTCCGAAAGCAAGCCGACACCAGTTCCACAGCGATCCCCACATTTTCCAGGAAATTCCGAACTCCCTCGAAGGAACCCGGAAGGCACGAAGATACACGTACGTGCTCCGATCGATCGATCGTCCGTGCCGGTAACAGCCACTGTTTGAGTACTCGAGGCACCACGAGAACACCTTTCGGACTGTTTCCAAGGTATCCAAGGGTAGTAGAGGCTACAGGACAACCTCCTCTGTCATCTCACAGAAGTGCAAGTCCTCAAATCCTCATTTTGGTTTTCTGTGCTTGTGTTTGTGCAGTGCCTCTCCAGCCACACATACACACACCAACACCAACAATAATCATCCAACCGGTACCCTCCCAAGGAACAGGCAACACCACTACACTACCACTACACTACTGCACTGTCTAGCCAGCGCACCAATCATCATGGGTCGCAAGAAGAAGAAGCAACAGCAGGGAATAGATGCCAGTGACACCATATCACTAGCAGCATCCAATGGCACCAACACACAGGACAACACCAACAGATCCACTACTGCAGAGGCACCAGCTCCAGTTTTAGCTCCTGTCAGAACACCTGTGGATCCCCCAGGCTGTTTGTTACCACCACACCACAGCGCCATCCCCAGCTTGGCTTCCTCCAATCTAACCAACCATGACACAACAACAATGATCAGCCAACCTTTTGAGCAGCTGACATTGGCATTGACAGAGGCATCAAAGCAAGTTGCCCTTGATTCCTTCAATGCATCCTCTTCCCTCCATGGCATACTATCCCATGACTCCATTCCTAGAACACCTGTGTTATCACTCAAGCCCAGCCCTGAGATAAAGGCTGGGAGGACCGATTCAGAACCAGGCAGTTTGGAACAGAGCTTGTTGGGTGATGTTAGGGACCCTCTTGGTTATCCATTCCAACTGCATGTTGCCATGGATGTTGCCTCTCCATCTATTGGAGATGGCTACTATGACCAAGTATGGGCCCCCAATGGGGAGGAATACACCCACCAACCAACAACAATCCCATCACACCCCAGGGTAGAGGACACTCCCATCCAACCTGTGTCCTCCACCATCCAACCTACTGGAGTTGTCTCATCCCAGACACCAGTGTATTCAGCCATCCCTCCAATCAGCCAACCTTTTGTGCCTCTGGAGGAGCAGTCAAAGAGGAACTCCATTCCCAATCCTCTGGGGAGCCAATGGCCACAACCACAGGTGAAGCAATCCATCTTCTCCAACATGCATGGCATGTCTCCCATGAAAAGGATGCAGGGAAGCAGTCCCAACAATGTAGCAGGTCCTGTTGGTTCAGGAAATCCAGACTGCTTTGGTGGCAATCCACAAGGTAATGACAACGGTGGCCAAGGAGATCCTGATGGCACTGATCCATGTCCTGGAGGAGGTGGAGGCGGTGGCAATCCAGAACCGGAAGGCAGGTACTTCCGTGCCAAGGCAGATGCCACAGCCTACCCTACTCTTAGATCCAACAAGGAGTTCGACACTTGGTATGAGGCTTCATCGTCATAGCCAGAGACAAGGCTTCTACAAGGTCTTCGACACTGAATATGTCCCATGACGCCGAGTACTTTGCAGAACTCTACGGATGAACCGATGGATCTATGCTGTCCTCCAGAACACAGTCAGACAACCAATGGGAAGTAATTGGAAGTCTCACTTCCATGAGCTGATTGCTTTGCAATCCTTGTGGAACTGATCCAGGATGCACATGCATCAGTAGCAGGCTCCCTGGACCATGTTGGGTCCTCCATTGGCTTTCAAGTGTCCAGTACAGTCCAAGGCAAGCTCTGCTGTTGACTTTGTCATCAAGTTTGACGAGACCATACCCACTACAATGATGCCACCGAGATCCAGCGACAGCTCAGTGACAGCATGCAGAAGCTTTCCTGCAGCGTGCCTTCACGATGTCCAAGTCTTGAACGACACAGATCCCGGAGCATGAAAGATGTGTCGTCATGGTCCCAAGACGCTTCACTAGAGGCGTACAAGGAGACACTCAAGAATGCCGCCACCCACTACGATGTCAACCGCCGTGTTCCCGACTCCCAACTAGCCAACCTAGTAACGGTTGATCAGGAACAAGGCCATACCAACGATGGTGGGGAGCAGCAAATCCTCGGACTCCCAAACACAACTTGGTTCAAGCTTTCGCCTGCCGGCCGCCAAACCTGGTGCAAGTTCTCTGATACCGACAGACAAGTCCTGATAGGTTCGACGCCGCCTGTAGTTGATTCCAAGAGTGAAGCTGACCAGCAGTCGGGGACACCTTGGACTCTCCCCATAGCAGACGACAAAGCCTTCAAGGGCAAGCCCATAGCCCAACCGCAACCTGGATTTGTTGAGGGCCGACTAGTTGTACGTGCTGCACGTCAAGCCAAGAGGAAACCGGGCACCGCCCATGTCTGCTGGGTAGCATGCCGCCCACTATGGGGCTACCTTCCGCAGGAAAAGGCACCGTATGACAAGTCACCTTGCTAGATTTGTCATAATGATTCAAGCATACCGTATTGTGATTTACAACTTGTATATTGTCACCAGTGGTGTCAAAAGACTCATCTCTGCCTGAGATGTTTGTGTTGTAACGTTTTGTAAACCACGTATTGATTCCAATATAACTACTGACTGTTTGTCTCTGCCCCTCTTAGCTTTATGGGGAGACAAACAGATGGCTTCCAATCCAATTCCAAGCCATGGTGAAAGTATGGGGAGACCAAGTGGGATCCTTACTGACGTCCAAGTGCAGTAGGTTCCTTGTGAATGGAGAGTATCTACAGATAGCCCCAAGACATATTCCACACACACATTCGCGAGTGACCAACACAAGGTGGATGTGTATTGTACATCCCAAGAAGTACCTTCGCGCAACACCACGCCGCCTAGATCCTAGAACACTTTTCTCTCTGGACAACGATGGCAACGCCAATGCTTGCTTTGGAGCCAGCCGTCTACTTGCTTTGGAGGGTTTGAGATCACAAGTGTGATGTCCCTTCTTTTGTTCCAAGTGGTACCCAGCAAGGGACACCTTGATGTATTCAAGAGGGCTTCTGACTTTGTATTAGGTCATAGCCAAGGTCCAAACTGAGGGACCAGATGCTCCCAGTTTTGTGGGAATGGCGAGAATGGAGCTCTCTGACGAGCATCGAGTTGCTATTGCGCACCATCTTGATGCTCGAGGTGGAGGAGCGATGAAATTAGCAAATAGGAGCCTCTATGGGTGCGCACAGCTGTGCTGGTTAGTCGGATGGAAACAATGCTTTTGATCGTGTACAGTCATCAGTACACACAGCATTGCAGCCATGTACAATTTGTATATAGCTGAGGCATGCCTATGTGTTCCAGAGCATATACCTTCAGTCTAGATACAATGGAATGATCCAGGCACAACAGCCTCTCCTAGGATCTCCAACAGTAGATATCCTCTCCAAAAGAGCCAGTTCTGTCACTGGAGTGAAATCGTGGTAATGGTGTTTTAGCTTATAGTAAGAAAGATAGTAATGAAAGAGTAACCCCTGAGACCCAGTAGCACCGTAGCCCTGCAGTAGATAGATTCCTGTGTGGTATGTGCTAGGGCAATGTAACCAGCTCCCCAAGTACTCTGAAGCAGTGATTGGGTAGCATTGAACCAGCCCTCTTTGAGCTGGCCTTTCAGCCAGTGGAGGAGATCTCCATCTCTAGAGATCTCCCTCCCAGCTCTTGTGTTCCTACAACTGAGCTCCCTGGCGGAGATTCATAGCCGCAAGTGGGTTCGAACCACGAAGAACTCACTCACGTACACTTCTTCTGCACATTATTGTGGCTTCGCCACTTCCCGTAAAGAGTTTGATGCCTTCTCATACCCAACGCTACACACTTTCAAAGGAACAATCACACACTCTACGCACTTCTTCACCCTAACGATTGGCGGGGATGTGAGAAAGATTATAAACACAAATTTGGTACCCCCCAAATGCGGTGAGCTCTTTTTCAATAATCCCACAAGAAGGAAGTGTTGGGGATTCGCGATTAGGGATTCAACCTGTACCTCTGTACTAGAATTTGATGCCAGTAGTAAAAGCTGGTAGCCCCCACCCACTTTTTCAATAGTATCTCAATAGCAACAGTAACTACTAGAAGAGAGCTTAGAGCAACTAACATACTATTGAAAAAGCGGTCTACTATCGATATCGAAGAAGCGAAGCAGTGAAGAGGAGCCTATCGAAGCAAACGGTAGCAGGAGTATCGGCCGTACGCCGAACGCGCGCGAGATCAAGTTCGAACGACCGTACGAAGAAGATCGACGGATCGGCACGACACAAGGATTGCGACGACGAGACGATAGAGACCAAGACTGTCGAAGCATCGACAGCAACAGCGAGAAGACTGTCAAGGAACGACAGCAACCAGTGAAGCCCTTCACGACTGGAGGCAACGCGACGACGCAAGATCCGAGAAGATCGCGACGACGCAACGAGTGAAGGATCCGAGGACGGATTCGAAGAACAAGAGCTGCAGTCGACGACGACGCAGCAGAGTTTCATCGGCAGAATCCACAAGGATTGCCGAGAGCCAACAACAAGCGCGAAAGCCATAGTGCCAGCGCAGGGGCCAAAGGACAGGCACCCAACAAGGAATCAACAATACAAAGAACCGGGTTCGGAGTGGAAACGACCGCACAGTGTGTGAAGCAATCGTTCCCTCCCTGCAAGATCTTTAGTAAATAGATTTAACACTCCCTAGCCAGGAGTATAATTTGAAGTTTATCGCCCCATAGCCATAAGACGAATAAGTAGTCGGACGAGAACTTAAATTAAAAGGGCTAGTCAATCAAAAAACAACGAATTTGAAAGAGTCCACTACCGTAAGCATAGACAATGAGCGGTAGAGGTAAAGGACGAGGTGGGCGAGGAGGCGGCAAAGCACGAGGGGATGGAAGAACAAGCCCATCGTCGAACCAGCAGAAAGGTTCATGCAAAGCCCGAGAACAACATGTGTTCAATTTAGGTACAACTGGATCTTGAACGGATCTCTCTCTTTTTTCC